CCCCTGACGAAATGCAATCATACTAATTAATGCAACTTCAGATATCCATACTTGAATAAAGCAAGAGGGAACCATACAACAAATGATGCCCAACGGAACCAAGAGCAAAAGTAAAATCAGAGCTAGGAGTAAGAGTGCCGCACTTAAGTCTCTTTCTAGGAAATATTTGTACAGAGGTTGCAAATTACAATATTTAGCAGTAGTTTTTGGCTTCTTCTCAAGCTGTTATCCCGCTTCAAAGAAAAAAAAAAAACCAAGTAAAGAAATTCCAACAACTTCAGTAGTGCCTCCTGATCAACATGAGGAGACAAACAGAATTCTTTCAGAAACATTGAACTAGGCTTCTCTGGCTCATATCTTTCTGAAGGATAATCAGTATCATTCTCATGACAAGGTAATTGCATGGAAGGTAGCAGAGATGTACATCAAATTGCAAGAATAACTCTGTGAACTGTCAGTGATGCACCATTACTGAAAAAGAACTGCATATCTGCATGTTCTGTCTCTTTAAGTGCTTTCCCAATATCTTTACCAATTTTATTTGGGAAACCATAAAATTCAAAAGAACTTAGAATGTGTGCTGCTAACCATCTTGGTCCAGGAGCAGAAATGTCAATTGAGATGTCCTAGAGTATCTTAACAAGTATCATCTTGGCTCAGTACCATTTATATCACTAGAATGGAATACCAATTCTACTAAACCACACCACCTGTAAAGCAAAAGAGTGTCTCTCCCTTCCCATTCCACTGTAGGTGCCCAGCAGCATGCCCTCTTACGAAATGCATGGTGCAAATGAGGTACAAAGCTCGAGACATGGACATGATTGCTCAGGCACCACATCATAAAAATAAACTATCCTAATTCCATCAAAAAATTCCACATTATTGAGATAAACTAATAGCGAGTGGATAAGGAGGATCTTAATTCTTATAAATTAATGCATCATTATTGTATGAATGACAACAAATATTTCTAAAAGCTTCATAGGAAATAAACAAAGCGAGGAAAAAGGCACTGCAAGGGAATAAAGTTCACCAGATCCTGGACATTTAGCATCCTCTAAAACAAATACATTAGACCCAGAATTAGGAGAAACCACTTCCTTGGCTACGCAAAAGGTTTTTTTCGTTGCGTCCAGAAGACACCATATTTATATGCAGAACTAGGAGAAACTTTACAGGTTTATAATGAAAAAAAAAAAAAAGCCCAGAAGAAAAATGAACCCAGAAACGAAAACAAAACATTTCATATGTCTTCTAAACTTTATAA